ACGAAATTGTCATGTGTATTATTACGTCACGAGGATTATTCGTCTGCGTGCTTTAATTTTGTATATATTTTCATATTGTGTAGTATTTATTTTAATTAAAGTAGTACTAATAATCAGTTTTTGAGGTTCTGATTGTACGCAGAATGATCCAAAAATAAACAATAAAGACTTTAAAAACTTTTATATTTCCTATATATTTTTTTAATACACAAAAACATATTTAACTACGGTGTTGTTCAACTAAAACTAAAAGTAACCAAAAAAAGGCCCGATCTCAATTATGGTGAATGTTTTATTCGTCGTCAGACCGAGGGGCGGAACCTAAGTGCAAAATACATATTAACTTACAAGAATGTTGAACATGTTTTAAGTTTCTTGTTGTAAAAAGAAAACTACGTATGTTAAGAGGTAAGGACAAAATATAAGCCCCACCCACCCACCCTATCGCGGTTGTAATGATTTTTTTGTTTGTTGTTAGACCGAGGGGCGGAGCGTAATTGCAAAATACATATTTCCCTACAAAAATTTTGCACATGTTTTAAGTTTCTTGTTGTAAAAGGAGAACTACGTATGTTAAGAGGTAAGGACAAAAAATTAGCCCCACCCACCCACCCTATCGCGGTTGTAATGATTTTTTTGTTTGTTGTTAGACCGAGGGGCGGAGCGTAATTGCAAAATACATATTTCCTCACAAAAATTTTTAACATGTTTTAAGTTTCTTGTTGTGAAAAGAAGACTACGTACATTAAGAGGAAACGACAAAATATAAGCCCCACCCACCCACCCTATCTCAGTTGTAATGATTTTTTTATTCGTCGTGAGCCAAGAAGGCGGAGCCTAACTGCAAAATTCATATTTCTTTGCAAAATTTTACTCTTCCAAGAACATATTTTATATGGTAATTTCTTATAGAGAAATGAGGATTTTGCAGCTAAACTCCGCCCTTCAACTCACGATGAATAAAAAAAATCATTGCAATTGCGAGGAGGTGGGTGGGCGGGGCTTATATTTTGTACTTTTTTTTTAATACACGAAAACTTCTTTTTCCAACAAGACACTAAAAACATATTTAACTACCGTGTTGTTCAATTAAAACTATAAGTAACTAAAAAAAAGTCCCGATCTCAATTATAATGAGTTTTTTATTCGTTGTCAGACCGAGGGGCGGAGCATAATTGGAAAATACATATTTCCCTACAAAAATTTTGCATATGTTTTAAGTTTCTTGTTGTAAAAAGAAGACTACGTATGTTAAGAGGAAACGATAAAATATAAGCCCCACCCACCCACCCTATCGCGGTTGTAATGATTTTTTTATTCGTTGTCACACCGAGGGGCGGAGCGTAATTGCAAAATACATATTTCCCTACAAAAATTTTGCACATGTTTTAAGTTTCTTGTTGTAAAAAGAAGGCTACGTATGTTAAGAGGAAACGATAAAATATAAGCCCCACCCACCCACCCTATCTCTGTTGTAATGATTTTTTTTTATTCGTCGTGAGCCAAGAAGGCGGAGCCTAACTGCAAAATGCATATTTCTTTGCAAAATTTTACTCTTTCGAGAACATATTTCACATGATAATTTCTTGTAGAGAAACGAGATTTTGCAGCTAAGTTCCGCCCTCGGTTCACGATGAATAAAAACTTCATTACAATTGAGATGGGGTGGGTGGGCGGGGCTTATATTTTTATCGTTTTTTGAATACACGAAATCTTCTTTTCCCAACAAGAAACTAAAAACATTTAACTATCGTGTTGTTCAACTAAAACTATAAGTAATTAAAAAAAATGTCCCGATCTCAGTTATGATGAATTTTTTATTCGTTGTCAGACGGAGGGGCGGAGCGTAATGGCAAAATACATATTTCCCTATAAAAATTTTCAACATGTTTAAATTTCTTGTTGTGAAAAGAAGACTATGTATATTAAGAGGAAAGGACAAAATATAAGCCCCACCCACCCACCCTATCGCATTTGTGATGATTTTTTTATTCGTTGTCACACCGAGGGGCGGAGCGTAATTGCAAAATACATATTTCCCTACAAAAATTTTGCACATGTTTTAAGTTTCTTGTTGTGAAAAGAAGACTATGTATATTAAGAGGAAAGGACAAAATATAAGCCCCACCCACCCACCCTATCGCGGTTGTAATGATTTTTTTGTTTGTTGTTAGACCGAGGGGCGGAGCGTAATTGCAAAATACATATTTCCCTACAAAAATTTTGCACATGTTTTAAGTTTCTTGTTGTAAAAGGAAAACTACGTATGTTAAGAGGTAAAGACAAAAAATTAGCCCCACCCATCCACCCTATCGCATTTGTAATGATTTTTTTATTCGTTGTCACACCGAGGGGCGGAGCGTAATTGCAAAATACATATTTCCTTACAAAAATTTTGCACATGTTTTAAGTTTCTTGTTGTAAAAAGAAGACTACGTATGTTAAGAGGACAGGACAAAATATAAATCCCACCCACCCACCCTATCGCGGTTGTAATGATTTTTTTGTTTGTTGTTAGACCGAGGGGCGGAGCGTAATTGCAAAATACATATTTCCCTACAAAAATTTTGCACATGTTTTAAGTTTCTTGTTGTAAAAAGAAGACTCCGTATGTTAAGAGGACAGGACAAAATATAAGTCCCACCCACCCACCCTATCTTACTTGTAATGATTTTTTATTCGTTGTCACACCGAGAGGCGGAGTTTAATTGCAAAATGCATATTTCTTTGCAAAATTTTACTCTTTCAAGAACATATTTTACATGGATATTTCTTGTAGAGAAATGAGGATTTTGCAGCTAAGCTCCGCCCTCGGCTAACGATGAATAAAAAAAATCGTTACAATTGAGAGGAGGTGGGTGGGCGGGGCGTATATTTTGAACATCTTTTCTTAACATACGAAGTCTTCTTTTTCCAACAAGAAACTGAACACACACTTAACTACCGTGTTGTTCAACTAAAACTATAAATAACTAAAAAAAGCTCCGATCTCAATTATGATGAATTTTTTATTCGTTGTCAGACCGAGGGGCGGAGCGTAATTGCAAAATATATATTTCCCTACAAAAATTTTGAACATATTTTAAGTTTCTTGTTGTAAAAAGAAGACTACGTATGTTAAGAGGAAACGATAAAATATAAGCCCCACCCACCCACCCTATCTCTGTTGTAATGATTTTTTTTTTATTCGTCGTGAGCCAAGAAGGCGGAGCCCAACTGCAAAATGCATATCTCTTTGCAAACTTTTACTCTTTCGAGAACATATTTCACATGATAATTTCTTATAGAGAAACGAGATTTTGCAGCTAAGTTCCGCCCTCAGCTCACGAAGAATAACAAAAATCATCACAATTGAGATAGGGTGGGTGGGTGGGGCTTATATTTTGCCCCTTTTTTTTAATATACATGTTCGTCATTTCACAACAAGAAACTTAAAACATCTTCAAAATGGTGAATTTGTGTAGGAACATATGTATTTTACCATTAAGCTCCGCCCCTCGGTCTAACAATAAATGAAAAAATTAGCACAGTTAAAATCGGCACGGGTGGGTGGTGCTTAATCTTTGGCTTCCTATTAACATGCACAGTTTTCTTTGAACAACACGATACTTAAAAAACATGTCTGATATGGTAATGTCTTGTAGAGAAATGAGGAATTTGCAATTAAGCTCCACCCCTCGACTCACAACGAATAAAAAAAATCATTAGGAATGCGACTGGGTGGATGGGTGGGGCTTATATTTTGTACATTTTTTTTAATACACGAAAACTTTTTTCCCAACAAGAAATTAAAAACATATTTAACTACCGTGTTGTTCAACTAAAACTATAAGTAACTAAAAATGAATGATGAATTTTTTATTCGTTGTCAGACCGAGGGGCGGAGCCTAATTGCAAAATACATATGCATTTCCCTGCAAAAATGTTGAACATGTTTTAAGTTTCTTGTTGTGAAAAGATGACTACGTATATTAAGAGGAAACGACAAAAGCATAAGCCCCACCCACCCACCCTATCGCAGTTGTAATGATTTTTTTTATTCGTTGTCACACCGAGAGGCGGAGTCTAATTGCAAAATGCATATTTCTTTGCAAAATTTTACTCTTTCAAGAACATATTTTAAATGGATATTTCTTGTAGAGAAATAAAGATTTTGCAGCTAAGTTCCGCCCTCGGCTTACGATATACAAAAAAAATCATCACAATTGAGATAGGGTGGGTGGGTGGGGCTTATATTTTGCCCCTTTTTTTAAATACACTAGTCGTCATTTCACAACAAGAAACTTAAAACATCTTCAAAATGGTGAATTTGTGTAGGAACATATGGATTTTACCATTAAACTCCGCCCCTCGGTGTAACAATAAATGAAAAATTTAGCAAAGTTAAAATCGGCACGTGTAGGTGGTGCTTAATCTTTGGCTTCCTATTAACATGTACAGTTTTTTTTGAACAACACGATACTTAAAAACATGTTTGATATGGTAATGTCTTGTTGAGAAATGAGGAATTTGCAATTAAGCTCCGCCTTTCGACTCACAACGAATACAAAAAAATATTACAAATGCGACAGGGTGGGTGAGTGGGGCTTATATTTTTTCCGTTTTTTCTTAATATACGAAGTCGTCTTTTCCCAACAAGAAACTGAAAACATGCTTAACTATTGTGTTGTTTCCAAAAAAACTATATAAATATAATATTTTTGAATAGTTAAAGAATGCAAACCTTTCAAAATTTCCCCAAGAGTGACTTTTTTATTCACGCAGAAAACCTCCGCTTCCGCGTTGGAAACTCATGGTGGGTGAAATTTAATCACTGATTAAACAGGATGGTATTTTATTATTTCAATTGCATCAAATTCAAATTTGAACTGTCATTCAAAGAAACTAGCTTCTTGGTCGATTTACCACTAGATGGCGCTAGAGCGGCTAGAAGCCGTAGTAGGGTTCCACGTTCCCCTATGCACAATGGAGACTACGAGGTCAATGAATTGAGTATCCCTTCCCCTAATTGTAGTACATCACATACATTATCGTTCGTATAAACTGTGTGCATAAAAGCGTGAATGTGAACAGACAGTCTGACACGAGCTCTGAGATTCTAATTAACACTTACTTCACTTTATTGGAACCATTAGTGATATATTAAGCGATAAAATTGATAATACAAGGGTATTATTTACCGCCGAAGTTGTTTGTGATACATTTAAAGAAATTGACGGTCGTCGTAGGTGTGTTAAACGTACTCGAAAGTGCGATAAGATAAGAAATAAATAAAAACAAACCCATTATAACTCAGAGTACAAAGTCCACATTTCAGAGTGTACATTTTACGTTTGAAGCGCACAAAGTGAATTTAAGCAAAATGGCCTACGCTCTACAAAAGGTAAGGATTTTATTTATTACGAAAAGTCGTTTTTTTACTAAAATATTCATAAATTTAGATACTTAAATCCGCGTCCGGCGGAATTGTTACTCGGGCGTTCTCGGTATCAGCTGTCCAGAAGTCGTCTGAGCACCCAAATGGGTTCAACTTTGGTAAAAGCGATCCACTTTCACAGTTTCTTTTGTAATAGTCGTATTTTAGAACTAAATGACACCCAGAAGGAAATTCAGGCGGTGGCCCGCAAATTCGCTAGGGAGGAAATCGCCCCGGCGGCGCCCCACCATGACAGGACTGGCGAGTACCCAGCGGAACTCGTAAAAAAGGCATGGGAATTGGGGTTCGTGAACCCCCACATTCCAGAACATTGCGGTGAGTGTGACTTTTGTACCTTGGTTCATTAAAAGCGACCGTTTTTTTTTTTTTTGTCAGGGGGTCTAAACCAAGGCGTCTTCGACGCCTGCCTCGTCGGCGAAGAACTCGCGTGGGGCTGCTCGGGGATAGCCACCGCGATTGGTTCCTCGTGCCTAGGCGTAAGACTACCCTTCCTCACACCCATAACGTCTTCACTTTCATGTTTCTAGCAAATGCCGGTAATCCTCACCGGTACCAAAGAGCAACAGAAAAAATACTTAGGTCGCTTGATTGACGAGCCCCTAGTGGCTGTAAGACTTGTCAAAATCGTCAAACTTTGTCTAAACCCAGGTTTCAGGCTTACGGCGTCACCGAACCCGGCACTGGTTCCGACGTGAACGGGGTTAAAACCCGGGCCGAGAAAAAAGGTGACGAGTGGATCCTCAATGGCCAGAAGATGTGGATTACCAATGCTGGGGTCGCCAATTGGTACTTTGTTTTGGCTAGGACTAATCCCGACCCGAAGTGCCCGGCTGCTAAGGCTTTCACTGGGTTCATCGTGGACAGGGACACCCCTGGAGTCACTCCAGGTCGCAAGGAACTAAATATGGGACAGAGAGCTTCTGACACCCGCGGGGTGACCTTCGAGGACGTGCGAATCCCCAAAGAAAACGTCCTTCTGGGAGAGGGAGCAGGGTTTAAGATTGCTATGGGTGCTTTTGATAAGACCAGACCACCGGTGAGTGTCACGCTGGTCTGGTTGATGGGTGTCTACATGTAGTGTTTCAGGTGGCTTGTGCCGCTACTGGGATAGCACAACGGTGCTTGGACGAAGCTACTAAGTACTCTCTAGAGAGGAAAACCTTCGGGGTACCGATTGCTCACCACCAGGCTATCGCTTTCATTCTAGCCGATATGGCGATTGGTGTAGAAACCGCTCGTCTGGCTTGGATGAAAGCGGCCTGGGAAGCAGATAACGGGATAAGAAATAGCTACTCTGCGTCGATTGCAAAGTCGTACGCTGCGGATGTTGCCAACAAGAGCGCTTCTGATGCCGTCCAAGTCTTTGGTGGTGCGGGATTCAATAGCGAATATCCCGTGGAGAAACTAATGCGCGATGCGAAAATCTACCACATCTACGAAGGTACCACCCAAATCCAGAAACTCGTGGTTTCAAGAAGCGTGATCGACGCCACGAAGAGTGTGGCTTAAGTGTTGTATTATGGTTACAGAATAAAGTTTCTATTTTTTTTACTTTGTTTTTGTTTGGACTGGAGTATAAAGGTTGCCGGACTTGCTAATAACAGGTGACAGTACTGTTGGAATTGAACCTTGACACACGAATGGTCAAAGTACAAAAAATCAGCGCAGTCATTTTTGTTATCTTATCTGTTGCTATTAAATAATGGTTGTAGTTGTTGTTTTGTAAAGCGCAAACAGTGTCAAAAATGGCTTTCTTGAAGACTGTATGTACCACGAGTACCACTCTAGGACGACGCGCACTGTCTGTTTCTTGTGTGCGAAGTACCACCCATCAAAACGGGTACAACTTTGGTGAGACCTTTATTCTTGTTGGTAGACGGTTGTTAAATTTCTTCCAGAGTTGAACGATACCCAGAAGGAGTACCAAGCAGTCGCGCGCAAGTTTGCAAGGGAGGAAATCGCGCCGGTGGCGGCTCACTACGACAAGGCTAACGAGTTTCCACACGAAATCGTCAAGAAAGCTTGGACTTTGGGTCTGAATAATTTAAGCATTCCCAAACATTGCGGTACGACTTTCACAAAGAAATGAGTTTTCAGGTCATAACTTGTCGTTGCAGGGGGTCTGGAAGAAAAGGTTTTTAATTTTTGTCTCATCCTAGAAGAACTGTCATGGGGTTGCACCGGGATATCCAATGCCATCAGTTCGTCAGGTCTAGGGGTAACTATTTTCAACACAGTCTTATCAATCGGGTCTAGACGACAATGTTTTGTAGCAAAGCCCGGTGATCCTTGCCGGTACGAAAGAACAACAAAAGAAGTACCTAGGGCGCCTGGTGGAAGAACCCCTCCTGACTGTATTTTTTTCATGTTTTGTGTACCTACGATGTAGTAAAATCATCTTTGCAGGCGTACTGTGTGACCGAACCCGGCACTGGGTCCGACGTGAACGGAGTGAAAACCCGTGCTAAGAAAAAAGGTTCCTTTTTCGGTTTCTCCATTTTTTTATTTTTTGATTTTTCAATTTTCCGATGTTTCAATTTCAATTTCCCAATTTTTATCCTTTTCAATTTTACGATTTCTAAATATTTCGATTTTTCCATTTTTGAATTTTTCAAATTTTGACGTTTCTATATTTTCAATTTTTCGATTTTTCAGGTTTTTGATGTTTCAATTTTTCAATTTCTCAGGATTTTGATTTTTTAATTTTTCGATTTTATAAGCTTACGATTTTTCGACTTCTGGATTTCCCGATTTTCAGTTTTTCGTTTTTTAAACTTTAGATTTTTATATTTTTGGCTGTTTTATATTTCGATTTCTCAATTTTTCAACTGTTCGATATTTAAATTTTTCAATTTTTGGGATTTTTAAAATTTTCGATTTTCATTCTTTTTTTTAACTTTTCGATTTTCCAATTTTTCGATGTTTCGATTTTGCAATGATCCAATTTTTCAATTTTCAGTTGTTTCACTTTCTGTTTTACGATTCTGCACTTTTTCTGTTTTTAAATTTTTGATTTTCGACTTGTCGAATTTTTAATTCCTAATTTCTTCTCCTCAATTTTTTAATTTTTCAATTGTAGAGTTGGGGAATTTTTCGATTTTTTTTTAAATTTCGATTTTACATTTCTTCGATTTTTCAATTTTTCAAAGTTCAGATTTATTGATATTTCAATTTCTGATTTTTCAATTGTTCCGATTTTAATTTTTCAATGTTGTGCTTTTGCAATTTTAGATTTTTCATTTTTCGATTTTTTCGATTTTTAACTTTACAATTTTTGTTGTTTTTAGTTTTCTCAATTTCCCGATATTTTCAGTTTCTGTTTTAATAAATTTGCATTTTTTCGATTCTTTGGTACTCGATTTTTCAACTTGTTCGATTTTTCCAATTTTCATTTGTTTCAGTTTCTGTTTTACAATTTTCCACTTTTTCGATTTTCTAATTTTTGATTTTTGGATTTGTCGATTTTTTAATTTCTAATTTCTCCTCAGTTTTCAATTTTTCGGTTTTACAATTGTGCAATTTTTCGATTTTTCAATTATTCGACTTTTTTAGTATTTATTTTGCACTTTTTCAATTTTTCAATGTCTGGATTTATTAATTACTCAATTTTTGATTATGCGATTGTCGATTTTTCAATTTTAGAATTTTGTAGTTTTTGGCTTTTTCAGGTTTTCATTTTTTCAGTTATCTAATTTTTCAATTTCCCCATTTTTTCCGTTTCTGTTTTACAATTTTTTTATTTTTCGATTTTTCAATTTTCCGGTGTTTCAATGATACAGTTTCTCAATTTTTATCCTCTTCAATTTTACGATTTCTAAATATTTCGATTTTTCAATTTTTGAATTTTTCAAATTTTGACGTGTCTAAATTTTCAGTTTTCAGATTTCTGAAGTAATCCTTTTTTTATATTTTCCCATTTCTTTCCAAAGTTTCGATTTTTCACTTCTTCGATTCTTCAATTTTTCAGGTTTTTGATGTTTCAATTTTTCAATTTCTCAGGATTTTGATTTTTTAATTTTTCGATTTAATAAGCTTACGATTTTTCGACTTCTGGTTTTCCCGATTTTCAGTTTTTCGTTTTTTAAACTTTAGATTTTTCTATTTTTGGCTGTTTTATATTTCGATTTCTCAATTATTCAACTTTTCGATATTTTAATTTTTCAATTTTTGAAATTGTAGATTTTTGATTTCTCGAGTTTTCGGTTCTTCCATATTTAAATTTTTAAATTTTCGGGATTTTTAAAATTTTCGACTTTCCATCTTTTTTTTAACTTTTCCATTTTCGAATTTTTCGATGTTTCGATTTTTCAATGATCAAATTTTTCAGCTTTCAGTTGTTTCACTTTCTGTTTTATAATTCTGCACTTTTTCTGTTTTTAAATTTTTGATTTTCGACTTGTCGAATTATTAATTCCTAATTTCTCCTCCTCAATTTTTTTAATTTTTCAATTTTAGAGTTGGGTAATCTTTCGATTTTTTTTTTAATTTCTATTTTACATTTCTTCGATTTTTCAATTTTTCAGTGTTCAGATTTATTGATATTTCAATTTCTGATTTTTCAATTGTTCCGATTTTAATTTTTCAATGTTGTGCTTTTGCAATTTTAGATTTTTCATTTTTCGATTTTTTCGATTTTCAACTTTACAATTTTGTTGTTTTTAGTTTTCTCATTTACCCGATATTTTCAGTTTCTGTTTTAATAAATTTGCATTTTTTCGATTCTTTGGTATTCGATTTTTCAACTTGCTCGATTTTTCCAATTTTCATTTGTTTCAGTTTCTGTTTTACAATTTTCCACTTTTTCGTTTTTCTAATTTTTGACTTTTGGATTTGTCGATTTTTTAATTCCTAATTTCTCCTCAGTTTTCAATTTTTCGGTTTTACAATTGTGGAATTTTTCGATTTTTCAATTATTCGACTTTTTTTAGTTTTTATTTTGCACTTTTTCAATTTTTCAATGTCTGGATTTTTATTAATTACTCAATTTTTGATTATGCGATTGTCGATTTTTCAATTTTAGAATTTTGTAGTTTTTAGCTTTTTCAAGTTCTCATTTTTTCAGTTATCTAATTTTTCAATTTCCCCATTTTTTCCGTTTCTGTTTTACAATTTTTTTATTTTTCGATTTTTCAATTTTCCGGTGTTTCAATGATACAATTTCTCTATTTTTATCCCCAAAGAAAACGTCCTTCTGGGAGAGGGAGCAGGGTTTAAGATTGCTATGGGTGCTTTTGATAAGACCAGACCACCGGTGAGTGTCACGATGGTCTGGTTGATGGGTGTCTACACATAGTGTTTCAGGTGGCTTGTGCCGCTACTGGGATAGCACAACGGTGTTTGGATGAAGCCACTAAGTACTCTCTAGAGAGGAAAACCTTCGGGGTACCGATTGCTCACCACCAGGCTATCGCTTTCATTCTAGCCGATATGGCGATTGGTGTAGAAACCGCTCGTCTGGCTTGGATGAAAGCGGCCTGGGAAGCAGACAACGGGATAAGAAATAGCTACTCTGCGTCGATTGCAAAGTCGTACGCTGCGGATGTTGCCAACAAGAGCGCTTCTGATGCCGTCCAAGTCTTTGGTGGTGCGGGATTCAATAGCGAATATCCCGTGGAGAAACTAATGCGCGATGCGAAAATCTACCACATCTACGAAGGTACCACCCAAATCCAGAAACTCGTGGTTTCAAGAAGCGTGATCGACTCCACGAAGAGTGTGGCTTAAGTGTTGTATTATGGTTACAGAATAAAGTTTCTATTTTTTTTACTTTGTTTTTTTTTGTTTGGACTGGAGTATAAAGGTTGCCGGACTTACTAAAAACAGGTGACAGCATTGTTGGAATTGAACCTTGACTCACGAATGGTCAAAGTACAAAAAATCAGCGCAGTCATTTTTGTTATCTTATCTATTGCTATTAAATAATGGTTGTAGTTGTTGTTTTGTAAAGCGCAAACAGTGTCAAAAATGGCTTTCTTGAAGACTGTATGTACCACGAGTACCACTCTAGGACGACGCGCACTGTCCGTTTCTTGTGTGCGTAGTACCACCCATCAAAACGGGTACAACTTTGGTAAGACCTTTACTTTGGTTGGTAGACGATTGTTAAATTTCTTCCAGAGTTGAATGATACCCAGAAGGAGTACCAAGCAGTCGCGCGCAAGTTTGCAAGGGAGGAAATCGCGCCGGTGGCGGCTCACTACGACAAGACCAACGAGTTTCCACACGAAATCGTCAAGAAAGCTTGGACTTTGGGACTGAATAATTTACACATTCCCAAACACTGCGGTACGACTTTCACAAAGAAATGAGTTTTCAGGTCATGATTTGTGGTTGCAGGGGGTCTAGAAGAAAACGTTTTTAACAGTTGTCTCATCTTGGAAGAACTGTCATGGGGGTGCACCGGGATATCAAGTGCCATCAATTCGTCAGGTCTAGGGGTATTTATTTTCAAAACAGTCTTATCAATCGAGTCTAGACGGCAATGTTTTGTAGCAAAGCCCGGTGATCCTTGCCGGTACCAAAGAACAACAAAAGAAGTACCTAGGGCGCTTGGTGGAAGAGCCCCTCCATGCTGTATTCGTTTCCCATTTCGTGTACAATCGCACGCAAATGTTTTGAGCCTATGGGCGGATCATTTTTGCCGGTCGTCACCGAAGGGCGGTCCAAATCGTCCAAGGGCAGAATTTGTAGGTAGGCTCAAACTACAACGAAATTTACGTGCTGACGAAATTCTTACCCTGAATTAATTTTAATTTTATAAATACTTACTCTGAATTAGTTTTAATTTTATAAATACCCTATCTAAAATGTTCAGAACATGATGAGTCTATGCTTGTGATTTTTATCTTTTCGGTGACAAATTTAATATTCGCATACTTCAGCGTAGTTAGTGAACTCGTTGTGACCACTGAAATATACAAAGAGTAAATTTTGAAATGGAACGAAAGTCGAAGAATACTTTCAAAGCCACGATCAAAATGTATTTGCTTATCTTCGCCAAAAAATGCATTACGTCATCGTAAAATTTGATATGATGAGTCTATACCTGTGATTTATCATTGCAGTAATATTTTTTTGATTTACTTATACAGCCTGTCTCAAAAAAAGGTCACTTCGATTTTCGATTTTTCGTTTTTTCGACCAACAGTTTCATCGAATTAGATTTTTCAGTTTCCATTTTTCTATCAACTTTTCGATTTTATTACATTCCAATTTTCTGATTTTTCAAATTTGCGGTATTTTGAATTTTCGAGTTTTCAGTTTTTTCGTTTTTCGATTTTTTAATTTTTCGTTTTTTTGATTTTTCGATGTTTCGATTTTTTGATTTGCCATTCTTTCAATTTTTTTTTTATTTTTCTGTTCGTCAGTTTTTAGACTGCAATTTTTTTGCATTTTTCGATTATATTTTACTTTCCGATTTTTTTGATTTTTGAATTCTCGATTTTACGTTTTTAATTCTTCGATTTCCGATTTTTCAATTTTCCGGTTTTTTAATTGTTCTATTCTCGATTTTTCGATTTTCCATTAATCATTAAATTTTTCGATTTTTCGGTTGTTTTATTTTTCGACCTTCGATTTTTCAACTTTCGATTATTCGATTTTCCATTTTCTGATTTTTGTGGTTTTTCGATTTTTCTGTTTGTTTCAGTTTTTATGGTTCTGCAATTTGTTTTATTTTTCCATTTTTCGATTATTTTACTTTCCGACAGTTTGGTTTTTGAATTTTCGGTTTTTCCATTTTTCGATTTGGGATTTTTCAATTTTTCGGTTTTTTAATTTTTCATATTTCGATTTTCGATTTTTCAGATTTGTGGATTTGTGTCCGTTTTTTCGATTTTTAGAATATTGATTAATCGAATTTTCGATTTTTGAGCATTTCGATTTTTCGATTATCATTTTTACGATTTTTCAAAATCTCGATATTCGAGTTTTCGATTTTCCATTTTTCAAATTTTCAATTTTTAATTTTGCTTTTTTCGATTGTTGCTTTTTAGAATTTTCCCTTCTTCAGCTTTTAGATTTCAATTTTGTTACTTTCCGATTTTCCACTTTTCGATTTTTTTATTTTTTTTCGATCGTCGTTTTTTGGATTTTCATTTTTCCGATTTTTTGATTTTTCAATTTTTAGGCCTTGCAATTTTTTTACGTTTCGCTTTTTCGAGTATTTGTTTCATCGATTTTTCGAGTTTTCGATTTTTCGGTTTGTCCGTTTTCCGATTTTCGATTTTTCGATTTTCCATTTTTAGATATTTTTCGATTTTTCTGTTCGTCAGTTTTGAGACTTTGCAATTTTTACTTTTCCACTTTTCTATTATTTTAGTTTCGGATTATTCGATTTTTGAATTTTCGTTTTTTTTTCATTTTCCGATTTCCGATTTTTTAATTTTTCGATTTATCGGTTTTTTAATTTGTCGATTCTCGATATTCCGATTTTCGATTTTTCGATTTTCCAATCTTCGATTTTTCAATTTCCGGTTTTCGATTTTCCACTTTTTGATTTTACGATTTTTCGATTTTTCTGTTCGTCAGTTTTTAGGCTTTGCAATTTGTTTACTTTTCGATTTTTCGATTATTTTACTTTCCAGTTTTTTGATTTTTGAATTGTCGACTTTTAGAGTTTTCAACATTAATTTGCGAATTTTCGGTTTTCCTATTTTTCGATTTTTGATTTTTCAATTCTCGGTTTTTCAATCTTGCAAATTTTCGATTTTTCAGATTTGTGAATTTCCAGTTTTTCGATCGACCTACGTATTAGATTCATTGAATTTTCGATTTTCGGTTTTTCCATTTTTAAATTTTTGATTTTCCAGTTTTGCATTTTCAGATTTTCTGTTTTTCGCATATTTGATTTATCAAATTTTCGATTTTTCGGCTTTCCGATTTTTCGATATTTGATTTTCGAATTTTCGATTGTTCAGTTTTCCATTTTTCAGCTTTTAGACTTCAATTTTTTTACTTTTCGATTTTCCAAATTTTCGAGTTTCAATTTTCAGATTTTTGATGTTTTCTTTTTAAATCTTTGAATTTTTCGGTTTTGATTTTTCGAATTTTTGATTTTTAATTTTTCCACTCTTCGGTTTTTAGACTTCAATTTTCTTTCTTTTTAGATATTCTATTTTCCGCTTTTCAGAATTTTTGATTTTCAGTCTTCAGACTTTCGATGATTAGAATTTTGGATTTTTCAGTTTTATGATTTTTCGATTTTTAGAAAATTTGAGTAGTCGAATTTTCGATTTTTCAATTCATCGATTTTTCCATGTTCAATTTTTCAATTTAAATTTTGCGATTTTCAATTTGTCCATCGTCGATTTTTAGAATTTTCGGGTTTTCAATTTTTCCATTCTCAACTGTTAGACTTCAATTTTGTTACTTTCCGATTTTTTGGTTTTCGATTTTCCAATTTTCAGAATTTTCAAGTTTTTTTACTCAGATTTTCCATTTTCCACTTTTTCGATTTTAGATATTTTGGTTTTTCCATTTTCCGATTTTGGATTTTTCGATTTTCCATGTTTAGATATTTTTCGATTTTTTTTGATTTTTCGATTTTTCTGTTCGTCAGTTTTGAGACTGCAATTTTTACTTTTCCACTTTTCTATTATTTTAGTTTCGGATTATTCGATTTTTGAATTTTCGTTTTTTTTTTCATTTTTCGATTTCCGATTTTTTAATTTTTCGATTTATCGGTTTTTTAATTTGTCGATTCTCGATATTCCGATTTTCGATTTTTCGATTTTCCAATCTTCGATTTTTCAATTTCCGGTTTTCGATTTTCCACTTTTTGATTTTACGATTTTTCGATTTTTCTGTTCGTCAGTTTTTAGGCTTTGCAATTTGTTTACTTTTCGATTTTTCGATTATTTTACTTTCCAGTTTTTTGATTTTTGAATTGTCGACTTTTAGAGTTTTCAACATTATTAATTTTCGAATTTTCGGTTTTCCTATTTTTCGATTTTTGATTTTTTCATTTTTTGGTTTTTTGATTTTTCAATTCTCGGTTTTTCAATCTTGCAAATTTTCGATTTTTCAGACTTGTGAATTTCCAGTTTTTCGATCGACCTACGTATTAGATTCATTGAATTTTCGATTTTCGGTTTTTCCATTTTTAGATTTTTGATTTTCCAGTTTTGCATTTTCAGATTTTCTGTTTTTCGCATATTTGATTTATCAAATTTTCGATTTTTCGGCTTTCCGATTTTTCGATATTTGATTTTCGAATTTTCGATTGTTCAGTTTTCCATTTTTCAGCTTTTAGACTTCAATTTTTTTACTTTTCGATTTTCCAAATTTTCGAGTTTCAATTTTCAGATTTTTGATTTTTCGATTTTCTTTTTAAATCTTTGAATTTTTCGGTTTTGATTTTTCGATTTTTTGATTTTTAATTTTTCCACTCTTCGGTTTTTAGACTTCAATTTTCTTTCTTTTTAGATATTCTATTTTCCGCTTTTCAGAATTTTTGATTTTCAGTTTTCAGACTTTCGATGATTAGAATTTTGGATTTTTCAGTTTTATGATTTTTCGATTTTTCGATTTTTCTGTTCGTCAGTTTTTAGGCTTTGCAATTTGTTTACTTTTCGATTTTTCGATTATTTTACTTTCCAGTTTTTTGATTTTTGAATTGTCGACTTTTAGAGTTTTCAACATTATTAATTTTCGAATTTTCGGCTTTCCTATTTTTCGATTTTTGATTTTTCCATTTTTCGGTTTTTTGATTTTTCAATTCTCGGTTTTTCAATCTTGCAAATTTTCGATTTTTCAGATTTGTGAATTTCCAGTTTTTCGATCGACCTACGTATTAGATTAATTGAATTTTCGATTTTTGGTTTTTCCATTTTTAGATTTTTGATTTTCCAGTTTTGCATTTTCAGATTTTCTGTTTTTCGCATATCTGATTTATCAAATTTTCGATTTTTCGGCTTTTCGATTTTTCGATATTTGATTTTCCAATTTTCGATTGTTCAGTTTTCCATTTTTCAGCTTTTAGACTTCAATTTTTTTACTTTTCGATTTTCCAAATTTTCGAGTTTCAATTTTCAGATTTTTGATTTTTCGATTTTCTTTTTAAACCTTTGAATTTTTCCGTTTTGATTTTTAGAATTTTTGATTTTTAATTTTTCTATTCTTCGGTTTTTAGACTTCAATTTTCTTTCTTTTAAATTTTTCGATATTCTATTTTCCGCTTTTCAGAATTTTCGATTTTCAGTTTTCAGACTTTCGATTTTTAGAAAATTTGAGTAGTCGAATTTTCGATTTTTCAATTCATGGATTTTTCTATGTTCAATTTTTCAATTTAAATTTTGCGATTTTCAATTTGTCCATCGTCGATTTTTAGAATTTTCGGTTTTTCAATTTTTCTTTTCTCAACTGTTAGACTTCAATTTTGTTACTTCCCGATTTTTGCTTTTCGATTTTCCAATTTTCAGAATTTTCAAGTTTCTTTAATCAGATTTTCGATTTTCCACTTTTTCGATTTTAGATTTTTCGAATTTTTGTTTTTCCAATTTTTTGCTTTTTCGATTTTTCTGTTCGTTTCAGTTTTTAGGCTTTGCAATTTTTTTTACTTTACATATTTTGATTATTTTAATTTCCGATTTTTTTTATTCTTGTTTTTGATTTTTTTAATTTTCAATATTACAAACTTTTGACTTTTCGATTTTTTGGTTTTCCCGTTTTTCAATTTTCGATTTTTCGATTTTTGAGGTTTGTAATTTCCACTTTTCGATCGACCTAGGTATTTGATTCATTGAATTTTCGATTTTTTGATTAGCCATTTTTAGATTTTCGATTTTTACGATTTGTATTTTTCGATTTTCTGTTTTTTGCATTAGTGAATTTCAGTTTTTCCGATTTTTGATTTTGCGCATATTTGATTAATCAAATTTTCGAAAAAGTTACCATGCTTACAAAAACTTCAAAACATCTACAATATTTCAAAGTATTCAGTTTTGCTATTCTTGATTTCTTCAATAAAATAAATTGACTCAGTCATTAACTTTTTTGAGACACCCTGTATAACCAAATCTAAAAAATATTAATGCAGTGATAAATCACAAGTATAAAAACTCATCATATTTTATACATTTAAGATATATTCTGCAAAATTTTGAGGTGACGTCATGAATTTTTTAGAGGGGATAAGCAAATATATTTTAATTAAAAATGTATCATGTTTATCATGACTTTAAAACATCTGCCATATTTCAAAGTATTCGATTTTGCAAATTCAAAATTAAATTGCAAAATATTGTTTTATAATTTTGATTTTTTTTCCAAAAATCTGGACGTTTGGGATAAAAACTCAACTCGGAGTCAAAAATTACATGTGTAGGACTATGCTACTGTATACAATTTGAAACCCACTTACTATGCATGAATTTGAAGTGACGTCATCACATTATTGGTGGGGATGATTAGACAAATTTAATAAATTTGCGACATTTATGAAAAAAATATCAGTTAACAAAAATGGCACGTTTTTATTATTATGCCAGTTACATGTCACTCAACGACAATATCGTTTTTTTTAAGAGTATTTTATTTGAAAAAGTGATGAAATTTTGTATACGGAACAATTGGTCGAAAGATGTTAGAAAGCAAAATAATTCATGTCCGGACCATCGTTACTCACGAACGAAAGTGACCATTATTTTATGGGAACAACTGCCTGCTAAATCTTCTCCGACAAATTCCAGAGAACTGGTGTGAGCCTTAAAAATTTCTTACCAAATGTATATATAACTACTGTCCGTCCCGTTATTGTCAATAAAATTTTATAGGGTAAAATGTGAATTTCGTTGTAGTTTGAGCCTACCTACAAATTCTGCCCTTGAAGGATTTGGACCGCCTTCTTCGGTGAGGGCAGGCAAAAACGATCCGCCCATAGGCTCAAAACATTTGTGTGCGATTGTACCTACGACGTACTAAAATCATCTTTGCAGGCGTACTGTGTGACCGAACCCGGCACTGGGTCCGACGTGAACGGAGTGAAAACCCGTGCTGAGAAAAAAGGCGACGAGTGGGTCCTCAATGGACAGAAAATGTGGATTACGAATGGCGGTGTGGCCAATTGGTACTTCGTACTAGCGCGGACAAATCCCGACCCTAAAGCTCCCGCTAGTAAAGCTTTCACTGGCTTTATCGTCGAAAGGGACACACCTGGTGTTACCCCTGGTCGCAAGGAAATAAACATGGGGCAAAGGGCATCCGACACGCGCGGAGTAACCTTCGAGGACGTGCGCGTCCCCAAAGAAAACGTTCTTCTAGGTGAAGGAGCCGGGTTCAAGATTGCCATGGGTGCCTTTGACAAGACGCGACCTCCGGTACTACCTTCATTCCCTACATTATCACAGTCGTGTTACTAAAATGGTTACAGGTCGCTTGTAGTGCCACAGGTCTTGCCCAAAGAGCTCTAGACGAAGCCGCAAAGTACTCTCTGGAACGCAAAACCTTCGGGGTACCTATCGCGCACCACCAAGCCGTCGCGTTTATCCTCGCTGATATGGCCATCGGTGTGGAGACGGCGAGGTTGGCGTGGATGCGAGCAGCCTGGGAGGCGGATTCGGGCTCGAGGAATAGCTACAACGCTTCGATTGCGAAGGCCTACGCCGCCGACGTTGCCAACAAAAACGCGACGGATGCCGTCCAAGTTTTCGGCGGGGCGGGCTTTAACAGCGAGTACCCGGTGGAGAAGCTGATGAGGGACGCCAAGATTTTCCAGATCTACGAAGGTACCACCCAGATCCAGAAGTTGGTGATTTCGAGGAGTATTATCGATGCGACGAAACGACTAGCTTGATGATTGTTGATTTTTAATAAACGTGATGTTGTTGAAGTCTGTTTTCTTTGGGGTAGTTTGGTTAGAGTGGAATTGTCTCTTTCTGTTATTGAGGAGTCAAATTTTGTCCCCATTCTGAGAAGTCTTCTAAATGGCGATGTTCATCCGGTATGTATATGGGATATGGTAGTGTTAGTTCAAGGTTAGCAGTGTTTACAAACATGACTCAGTTCACCTAACCTGAAACTCAGAGTCCAACGTCCATTAACACTACTGATAAACTTAAATGAGTTTGCAGAATTCATTGAGGTTATTTACTATCGGTTCCTGCATTCGTTTGGCGCCTAAATTGAAACTCTTGTAGATTTCAACGAAACCCAGAAAGAATACCATACAAGTATTAAGGAACCTTTATCTACTGTATTATGTTGTTTTAGTATGAACCTTTAAGGGTCCCCAGTCGTCGTGTACAAAATTGGTTCCAGATATAAGATACAGAAAAAATGAAAACGTTCCTTTTTCGGTTTCTCCATTTTTTTGTTTTTCGGATTTTTCAATTTTCCGATCTTTCAATGATACAATTTCTCAATTTTTATCCTCTTACGATTTCTAAATATTTCGATTTTTCAATTTTTGAATTTTTCAAATTTTGACGTTTCTATATTTTCAATTTTTCAATTTCTCAGGATTTTGATTTTTTAATTTTTTTATTTTATAAGCTTACGATTTTTCGACTACTGGATTTCCCGATTTTCAGTTTTTCGTTTTTTAAACTTTAGATTTTTATATTTTTGGCTGTTTTATATTTCGATTTCTCAATTTTTCAACTGTTCGATATTTAAATTTTTCAATTTTCGGGATTTTTAAAATTTTCGATTTTCATTCTTTTTTTTAAATTTTCGATTTTCCAATTTTTCGATGTTTCGATTTTTCAATGATCCAATTTTTCAATTTTCAGTTGTTTCACTTTCTGTTTTACGATTGTGCACTTTTTCTGTTTTTAAATTTTTGATTTTCGACTTGTCGAATTTTTAATTCCTAATTTCTTCTCCTCAATTTTTTAATTTTTCAACTCAGTTTTCAATTTTTCGGTTTTACAATTGTGGAATTTTTCGACTTTTTTTAGTATTTATTTTGCACTTTTTCAATTTTTCAATGTCTGGATTTATTAATTACTCAATTTTTGATTATGCGATTGTCGATTTTTCAATTTTAGAATTTTGTAGTTTTTGGCTTTTTCAGGTTTTCATTTTTTCAGTTATCTAATTTTTCAGTTTCCCCATTTTTCCGTTTGTTTTACAATTTTTTGATTTTTCAATTTTCCGATGTTTCAATGATACAATTTCTCAATTTTTATCCTCTTTAATTTTACGATTTCTAAATATTTCGATTTTTCATTTTTTGAATTTTTTAAATTTTGACGTTTCTAAATTTTCAGTTTTCCGATTTCTGAAGTAATCTTTTTATATTTTCCCATTTCTTACCAAAGTTTCGATTTTTCACTTCTTCGATTCTTCAATTTTTCGATTTTTCAGGTTTTTGATGTTTCAATTTTTCTATTTCTCAGGATTTTGATTTTTCAATTTTTCGATTTCATAAGCTTTCGACTTCTGGATTTCCCGATTTTCAGTTTTTCGTTTTTTAAACTTTAGATTTTTCTATTTTTGGCTGTTTTATATTTCGATTTCTCAATTTTTCAACTTTTCGATATTTTAATTTTTCAATTTTTGAAATTGTAGATTTTTGATTTCTCGAGTTTTCGGTTCTTCCATATTTAAATTTTTCAATTTTCGGGATTTTTAAAATTTTCGATTTTCCATCTTTTTTTAACTTTTCGATTTTCTAATTTTTTGATGTTTCGATTTTTCAATGATCCAATTTTTCAATTTTCAGTTCTTTCACTTTATGTTTTACAATTCTGCACTTTTTCTGTTTTTAAATTTTTGATTTTCGACTTGTCGAATTTTTAATTCCTGATTTCTTCTCCCCAATTTTTTAATTTTTCAATTGTAGAGTTGGGAAATTTTCGATTTTTTTTTAATTTCGATTTTACATTTCTTCGATTTTCCAATTTTTCAATGTTGTGCTTTTGCAATTTTTGATTTTTCATTTTTCGATTTTTTCGATTTTTAACTTTACAATTTTGTTGTTTTTAGTTTTCTCAATTTCCCGATATTTTCAGTTTCTGTTTTAATAAATTTGCATTTTTTCGATTCTTTGGTATTCGATTTTTCAACTTGTTCGATTTTTCCAATTTTCATTTGTTTCAGTTTCTGTTTTACTATTTTCCACTTTTTCGATTTTCTAATTTTTGATTTTTGGATTTGTCGATTTTTTAATTTCTAATTTCTCCTCAGTTTTCAATTTTTCGGTTTTACAATTGTGCAATTTTTCGATTTTACAATTATTCGACTTTTTACTTCCCGAGCGTAAGCAAAGGAAGAATTGTAATCGAGTCCGTCGGCCGACTCTCTACTTTTACGTTTTCTCGATCTTTCATGACCCCTAGAAGACGAAGAAATAGGTCTCCCATTTCCGTCTGTCTGTCCGTCTGTCCGTCTGTCCGTCCGTCTGTCCGCCCGTCCGTCTGTCCGTCCGTCTGTCCCTCTGTCCGTCTGCCCCCGGATTTTTATTAGACAGATAATCTCCGAAAGTACTCGACCGATTGTTGTGAAATTTTGTACTTATATTAAGAATATCATGTAGATGGTAAAACGCTAACCAAAATTTGTCGAATCATCCCCACCACTAATGCGATGACGTCACTTCAAAATTGTACATAGTAAATGGGTTTTCAATTGTATAAAATAACATAGTCCTACACATGTAGTTTACAACTCCGAATCGACTTTTCACCCGAAACGTCCAGATTTTTGGAAAAAAAATCAAAATTATAAAACAACATTTTGAAATTTAATTTTTAATCTGCTAACCAGAATGCTTTGAAATGTTGCAGATGTTTTAAGGCTATAAAGAGCATCATAAATCTTTAGTCAAAAAATATTTGCTTACCCCCTCCAAAAACTTGATGACGTCAGCTCAAAAGTTTGTGGAATAAATCATATCTAAAATGTACAAAATATGATGAGTCTGTACTTGTGATCTATCACTCCATTCATATTTTTTGGATTTGCGTATACAGGGTGATTCAAGAAAATAAATGAAAGCGTAAATTTATTTTACTGATTTACTCAGGAACTACAAAACCGAATGCTTAGAAATCTTGAAGATATTTTAAAATTATCATAAGCATGGTAAATTTTTGATCAAAATGTATTTGGTCGTCCCCCCTAAAAAATTTATGACGTCACCACAAAATTTTGCTGAATAAATCCTATCTAAAATGTACAAAATATGGTGAGTCTCTTCTTGTGATTTATCATTCCATTCAAATTTTTTCGATTTGCATATACAGGGTGACTCAAAAAAATTAATGAATGCGTAAATTTATTTTATTGATTTAATCAGGAACTACAAAACCGAATGCTTTGAAATCTTGCAGATGTTTTAAGGTTATAAAGAGCATAATAAATTTTTAGTCAAAATATATTTGGTTATCTTCTACAAAAAACTGATGACGTCAGCTCAAAAGTTTGCCGAATAAATCGTATCTAAAATGTACAAAATATGATGAGTCTGTACTTGTGATTTATCATTCCATTCATATTTTTGGATTTGCATATGCAGGGTGACTCAAAAAAATTAATGAAGGCGTGAATTTATTTTATCGATTTAATCAGGAATTACAAAACCGAATGCTTTGAAATCTTGGGAATATTTTAATGTTATTATAAGCATGGTAAACTTTTGTTCAAAATGTATTTGTTCATCCCTCCTAAAAAAATTGATGACGTCACCCTTAAATTTTGCTGAATAAATCCTATCTAAAATGCAAAAAATATGATGAGTTTGTACTTGTGATTTATCATTGCATTCATATTTTTTAGATTTTCTTAAGAGGTGGTTCAAAAAAATTAATGAAGTCAATTTATTTTATTGATTAAATTAAAGGCAACACTTATTATTAGTATTACACCCCAACCAACCCAATTTGGTAGACACAAAATTTGTTAAAGGAAAAACTCGGTTGAAACATAAGGGTAGCATCGCTTATTTACATCGACTTTAACATTACAGACCTGCATTTGTTTTATGCGATCACTTGGTTCCGCGAATGTGAAATAGACATGTTTATAATCAACCAATTGTGAATTTCACCGTCAAGAATTAAAATAAAACCCAATGTTTTATATAATAAGCGGAAGTCGAAGCAATAAAACCGATGGTCGTTTTGTTTACAGTTTCTCTGTTTGACTTTCACGTATGCTGTTACGCTTGTCATCTTAAATTAAGAATGTTTATACATAAACGATTTTCAGTTGCCGTATACGTGAGTAAATTGTTTCGTTATTTTATTGATTATAAAAAATCAATATTCAAAACGACCCAATTCATTTTCCCGAAAATTTGGGAATACAATAATTTTATTCTTAGTATTACTCAATTTTAAATTGAGGAAGAAATTATGTGAGTCTCTTGTCTTGTCATATATAAATTATTGCCTAGTAATATATTACCCATGTCTTGACAGTATTGATAAATACCGTCTTCAAAAAATCCAAAATAATTGTTGTCGTTTCATTTTTGGTTTGAGGAAATTTGATCATGTGTCTCAGAAAATCTGTGAGCTTGGTTGGATGAAAATTGACAAATTGTTTCAGTATCACCTATCTATCTTTGCTTTCAAGTTATTTTCCTCTAACTCTCCGCCCTACTTGCGTTGTAAATTTCATACAAGAAAAAGTATGTTAAACTCAAGTCTCCCATTAAGGAATCTTAAAGAACTGTCAATGCCAAAGCATTATACATCTATCTTTCAGAGATCTTTCACGTACAATATTATCAAAGTTTACAATAAATTTTTATTAGAGTTTAATTCAAGTTCTTCCATCAATTGTTTTAGGAAAAAAATTAAAAAATGCTTGATTAATACTTAGGTTTAAGTTTATTATTGTGGTTCTCTTGCTTGTTGTTAACTTTTTGTTATTATTATTATT